ATTTCTTCTCTGAAGGCGTTAAAATCGACTTCAAAATTGGGTTCTCGGGCTCTTTTATTTCGCTGAGAGACATACACAGGCGATGGAAACTCTTGTGAGATATTCGATTCCGAGACCGATTTATTATTCAATGTCGACTCCATGACTTGTTACAGCTACGGCGAGTATTTATTTTAAAGTTAAACAATCCAGAAATTTTGTTTCAAATAAGAGTTTTGTAGTTAAAATTTTGTAAACAAAATGATGATCCACGGTGGGATGAGAACGCGGTGCACTCCCGCGCACGCAGTCGAGGCCGCGTTATGCAGAAATAGGCTGACCGCTTCGTTACGTAACTCTTGAATTTTTTTAACTGTTATTAAGTTATTATGATTTTAAAAACGTTGTGGACGGTAGTTTAGATTACGAATGACATTTACACCGTCACATCAGTTATATACACTACAAGTTATTGACTAAAAAAACGAATTTAACACTGATTTTACATGCAACTATCACTGTATACTTAAATTACAACGTTTTATGTATCACATCACCAAAGCTAGGACACTTAAGTTTAAGTGAACCGTTGAAATAATTAAAATTATACGGAGCGTTATGAAACACGTCTACTCTGTTCGCGATGTGAGGGGGAAGAGGATGAGATGATGATCTCCATAAAACTTTACATACATATAGAACATAGTCTGGAAGAGCACATAAACTAATTAAATTCGATTTTAATTCCGCGCAGACGGAGTCGCGGGCGACAACTAGTATAACATACATTTATTTTGTAATAAAGACCACTTTAATTTCAGTTTAAACATATATCCAAACAATACCCTTATCAGACGATTAAAACATATTTGACGTTCCAAATTAAACTCCTAATTCGGATAGTATCATGTTATTGTACACGTGTTGCAACATTGGAATCCAACACAGTTAATACAACATGATAGCTCCATTAACTTTCTCTTCCAACGCTGGTGCGATAGTGTCAGCATCTCTGTTGTCCGCCATCGCTATCAGGATGCATACATTGTTGACAAACGCGGAGATAGCGGCAGCTACCACTAGCCTACAATTATATACATATAATTAACTGTGAGTTTCTGAGACTAAAATCCCCGTTTAAAACATGTTTTTTTAATTAACTAATATTTCATGTACCATTGCAACTATGCTCTAGGTTTGTGATATGGTTTACGACAATAGTCGAATGGCGGGATTCGAAATCTCGACCACAGTCCCCAACGACCAAGTCCGTACCCTTAGCCATTAGGCTATTGACACTTCATCTCTGTTTTGTCCATGAGAGGAATGACGATATGTTTCATAGAGATTGTTGTCTCGGAAAACAATGTTATGGCAAAATTATTTAACTTGGAACAAATTACGTAATAATAACAATATATTCGAAATGATTTCAATAAAAAAGCTTCTGAACTTGAAAAGGTAGTAGGGTTCGATTTTAAGCGTTCCTTCTTCTGTCTATTAAAATTGCGAAAGGGGGCAGATGCATGAGGGTCTAGCATGAATATTCATGAAAACGTTTTCGTAACTTCATCGAAAAAAAACCTGCGCCACTACCGTGCGTACGATAATAAACTCGACGACGATACGAAAGTGCGTGTCACAAATATTCGAGCTAGGCCCTTAGGTATATACCCATATTTACCATCTTTCACTATTAAATAAATCCATGAGAAACAAAGACTTACCAAAATGAGATGCCTAGATCTGCCATACCGTCAGAAGACCAGGTGTTAGCGAGGTCCTCCTCTGACATCACATTGTGCTGCAACCGGAGAAAGAACTCCGTCAGCCACACTGACATTGAACCCAGGCAGAATAACACTGGAAACAGATGAATTATATAGTGGGATAAAAAATATTCACAATATCATAAATAATTAAAACCCTTACCGTTGGTTTCTGAGACTAAAATATTTGTATAAAACGATACGACGATATCGTCTTCCCATTTAAAAATCAGAGATAACAATATGCCTTAAACAGGGATTTTAGCCTCAGAATCAAAGGCACGAACGGTGAGAGTGGCATTTATTTTGCCTCTATTGGACATGGTAAAGGATAAACTGAAGTTGTAACATGTCATATAACGCTCCAGGGAAAAAAACGAGTCGAATGACATCTCAATTGTCGAAATCAATTCAGTTGTTTAGTATATAAGCCGTCACAATGGAAAAAAATTACATACGCAAAACACAATAAAGGAACGTACCCATACTAAGTTTTATACCCCGTTTAGGGGGGGGAGTCTTTAAAATACTACGGTCAGTCACAGACGGCGGGGGGTGGGGCTCAGATTTTAGTTACGTTGTCCTTAATTGTTTTTTTTTCATAATACACAATTCACTAGTAATTTAAGTATGCATGCAGTCTTATGCTTTAAGAAGAGTATGAGCCAAATGATTTTTTTTTCAATTTTTGCCTGTGAAAACTAAAGGGGGGTCTTGGCATGTACTACGAGGGGTTACCGAGGGGTGGGAGGGGTCGAAAAAACTAAAACAATAGGTCACGTAGTATGGGTATGTTCCTTAACCCTCTTTATCAATCGGGTAGTAATAAAAAGATCTTCTTGCTTATGTAATAATCAATGTAAGTTACCTGTTGCAGAGTTGCAGAGTAGCAGTGGTTTGGGAGAGCAGCGCGCACGCGAGGCGGAGGCGAGGGCGGCGAGCACGCAGGCCCCGCCCGCCGCCGCCAGCGCCACGCCTAGCTGCGCCGCCGTGCCGCACCACGCCCAGCGCCGCGCTGGGTGCGTGCCTGCCCGCACTGCAACACAAATCTCTAACAATGAACCACGTACTAGCAGCTTCCCGTGACTTCGTCAGCGTCAGAAAAAGTAGACTATAACATGGCCGTATGCATAAGCCGTTTCGGAGATTACCCGGAACAAATGAGTATTACGGACAGACAGACAAAAATTTTATTAAATGGTCATATGTTATCAGCAACGCAAATTAAAATTCTATATGATTTTGTTATTCGATATTACATACAGACAGTCCATTTTTATTTAAATCTATTTTGTGTATGTATACTTAAAAATAACTTTACTTACCGCTAAAATCATAATATCTTCGTCCTACTCCAGCATTCAGTGCCTTGTGCCCTTCAAACAGACCGAAGCTTATCTGTCCTTCAGACTCCAATGGATTGGGGGCTCTTTTTGCCTTTGCATCGACCCAGTGTGTCGTCCCTAAGGAGCCTACGATCAAGGCAATACATAAACACGATCCGAAGAAGGTCGCAAATATCATGGAACGTTTGAACAGGTTCAACTTCATTTTGATTCAAGTCACAAACACTTTCACTTAGTACGTCCGTTCGTCGCTAGATGGCGTTACGTCACATGTTCATTCTAAAGAGGTTTTATATGTGCCTCTTTTCTAATTTAGACAATAGAACTTTCGATGCGCGCGCATTGTGTTATTCATAGTAGACTTTTCCTTTTAATCTCACGTTGTCAAAGGGAAATCTGAAACGAGAAAATGACACTTTAAATACGATATAAAAATTTTATTAGCTACCTAGCTGTCGCCCGCGATTTCATCCGCTTGGAATTAAGAAAAACTTAATTAGTACGCTATACGTTCTTCCAGACTATGTTCTACATCTATGCCAAATTTCAGCGAGATCCACGCAGCCATTCTAGAAATACCTTCTAAGATCCATCCATCCATATAAAAAATGGCATTTATTAACACTGTATAAATTAAACGTTAAAGTGACACCTTTTAATACAAAAACCTCATCTAAATTACACATAAGTCTTAATGTCAAGTTTACAAATGTTACCTAATTTTGAATTATTATTCGAATGCAGAGTAAAACCGGTTACCTCGCTGTTATTTCTTTGACACGCGATGTAAAAATGTTAATATGACTTAGTGGTGATTCTTTATCTTTTACGCTCGCGATTCCGTCCGCGCAGAATTAAAAAAAACATTGGTTATATAGCCTAAAGCCTTCCTCTATAAATGGACTATCCAACAAAAAAAAACATTTTCAAATCGGACCAGTAGTTCCTGAGATAAGAGCGTTTAAACAAACTTTCGCTTTATAATATTAGTATAGGTAAAGATACTAGCTGTAGCCTGCGACACCGTATACGCTGAATAAAAAACAAACTTAATTAGTATCCTATATGTTATTACAGACTATGCTCTACATCTATATCAAATTTCTTCAATATACGTTAAGCCGTTCTGGAGATACACTCAAACAAACATCGAGGAGGGATGGATGTATTCAACATCCAAATATTTGCATTTATAATATTAGTAAGATAAATAAATATATAATTGCACTTACACAAAGATTCAATAAAAAAAAAACAAAGTGTTCTTAAACTAATAAATTTAAGAAAACTGGCTTTGTCTTCTCTCAATTTTACCGTAAATTTCACTCGTGTTTTTAAAATAAAACAATAGAGAATCGACACGGTGAAAGTGAAATATCGAGTCAAAACAAAAACAAAAAAATCGATTACAATCCATAAAGAACTAACCGAATATCATAATAATTGCATAAGTCAATAGATATTATTAATTAAATAACAATAGATTTTATTCAATTAGTATAAACAGAAATAAAATATTTACTTCGATTTTGCATTTTTGCTGTAGAAAAAAGTATTCTATTTCTATTACGATATGGTATAAAATACTTAAGCACCTTTTACAACACCAATTCAAGATGCTAATCAAACCTACATCGAAATTTGAACTTTAACAACATGTAATAGAATACAAAATCGCTATATGACATAACGTGAATACAATTAACCCGGTACCACACTGACTCGTTTCTAGCTACCAGTAATGACATAGTTACGTACCATAACGTTAAACATCACAATCGGTAAGTGCCTTTAGACTATACCGGTTCATCTATACTAATATTACAAAGCGGAAGAGTTTGTTTGTTTAAACGCTAATCTCAGGATAATACTGGTCCGATTTGAAAAATTATTTTTTTGTTGGATAGTCCATTTATAGAGGTATATAGGTTATATTTTTTTTTAATTCCGCGCGGACGGTGTCGCGGGCGACAGCTAGTGATTAATAATAATGCAAACATTAGCAGCAAACATTATTTTGCCACAAAACACATGTGTCATGACGTCACATCATTACAATGATCTCTAATCTAAAAATCTCTAAAAATAAAGTAATTGCTTGGAAATGACAGCTTTTATTTCATTCCGCGTCTGTTGAAGTTCTTGACAGTTAGTTCCTATCCTCAGTCAATGCTACCAACCGCAACCATTAGCGCCAAAGTGACGGAAATCAAATAGGCACAAAATACCATGCTTTATAGCCTATCCATGTGTAGAGTGCCTCATATCTACATGCGCCAAAAATAGGGACATCCCTATTTATTTTTGTCGCATAAACACACAACACAATGATAAGAAGGTGAAGTATCAAGGTCTTACCGTTGGTTTTAGAGACCATAATCTCTATATAAAACATATCGTCATCCCTGTCACTATGTTCGACAAAACAGAGATAGCAATATGTTTCAATCGAGGATGTAGGTCTCAGAAACCACAGTCAAGCATGGATTAGTGATTGACAGTTGCCGATATAATAATACGTAATAGTTATTTATCGAGCA